CAAAATGTTTCAAAGCAGCTTTACAGAAAATTAAGTTTCTACAATATATTTAGTAGTAGCTTATCAGTGGTGACTGCCAGTTAATGTACATTTGGCAGAAATGTACGGAAAATATATAGTCTTATAATATGTAAATACTGTAAAAATATGGTATTTTCCATAACCTTGTCAGAAAACATATTCAGCCATGTTGTTATAAAAGATAATCATAGAAAATAACATTTTATTAGCTTTAATTTCTTAACTGTGCACTTTTATTTACGCTATCTATTATATAGGGCCTATATTATAAATAAAAATAATATATATTTAGTTTATATATACTTAGATTATGAATATGGAGCACAGCTTTCATCAAGCACAGCTGGGCAGAAATCTAGAAAGGTTATTTTCCATAAACTCGTTCAGTTATAGTTTTATAAAAGAAAATCAAAAGAAAATTTGATTAGCTTTTATTTCTTAACTTTGCTTTAGGGCTGTAGCTATCGATTATTTTAGTAATCGAGTATTCTACAGATTATTCCATCGATTAATCGGATAAGAAGTAATTGTTCTTTATTAAAGAGCAATACTAAATATGCAAGAGATAATAAGACAGATCTCTTAGAGTAAACAACTAATTTGTTTTCTTTTTAGAAAATTAACATTTTTCTTGCTGAAATTGCATACATTAATAACCGTGAAAACTAAACCCATTTAATGCATTTAATTGCCAAATTACATTCAAAATGCAAATACAAATATATCAATAAAATAAATAAAATAAAAATATAAATACAAAAATAAAATAAATAAAAATACAAAAATCAATTTCACATTACCTTAAAAAAGGTAAACAGTACAAACTAAGACATAACTCAAAATAATAGTAATAAAAATAATAATAATACCTAAACATTGCATTTATGTCGTGCAAATTAACTTTCAAGTTTCAGCCTAACTAAAGCTCAAGCATGACATAAGCCTTTACTGTCTTCTTGGAAGGCTTTGTGGCTTTTGTGAGAGGCAAAAATCAGTGGACAGGAAGGTAACTTGGAACAAGAACAAGAGACCATGCACAAGTTTTAAACACATTTTTCTACAACATAATCCCTCTTAAATGTCCCTTTACGTACTTGTGTGTGTGTGTGTGTGTGTGTAAAGCTTGTTTTTGAAATCCTTCATATTCTGTGTGCTGGTCAGTTCACAGCAGTGATAGAAATTACCTTTATAAAGCCTTTTTTTTCTAAAAGTGTGCATCATCTTTTGAGTCAAATTCTTACATTTAATCAGTCAATTAGAATTAAAGACATTTGGGCTGTTACCAAATGATATCAGTATCAAAACTCATCATTGCACTGCAGAGGAAACACAGAAGCTGCATGGCATGAATTTCCCACACAGAGGGACATGAATGCATTTAACCTGCTGTTACAAATGCATAAATAATATTTTGTTATTTTAAACACAAAACATTGAATACTGATATTTAAAATTATTTTTAAAACGAAAAGATACTTTAAATGTGAAATTTAACCCGCCAGCAGGTGGCAGCATGCCGCTGTTAAGAAGTGATTCATTGCGATTGAACCGAATCATTTAAACGGTTGATTCGTTCAGGAACGAAACGCCGTCATGTTGCTCAGAGACGCAAAAACAGGCAATATAGTGTCTAAAACGTAAGTCTTATAATATTACCTTCTTGTTTATTGAACTGTTGAATAAAATCATATTTTATGCTGATTTTAGAGGTGAAAACTGGCACTCTTCGTGTGATATTGACTAGCTTTCTTTCTGAGGTATTTTTTTATGCACAATGGCGCTTAGTCTTTCACAAAACATAGCTAACGTAGGGACATTATAACTAGCCAACATATTGATTTACGGTCTTAAATATGTCCAGCGCTTTTTTTTTTTTTTTGTTATAGTCTATG